GAAAAAAAAAAAAAAAAAAAAAAAAAAGAAAGAAAGAAAGAAAAAGATGGGTGAGAATACTCAAACGATAGTACCTAAGTTGCACAAACCATTAGAAAGTAGACTAAAGGTTAAAATATCATTTTGATCTGTGTACTTTGGATTTCATTCCATTTTGGTCCCGGTATTTTTTATTGTCCAAATTTTGTTTATGTAATTTCAATAAAACTTAAAATTCCTATGAGTAGTTTAGGGTTAAATTTTCTGTAAAAAATAATAGTCTATATTAGCCTTGACTATAAATTTTGAAAATTTATTTACTTGCGTCTTTTTCTTGTTTGAAAATTATTAGTCTTATTTAACCTATTTCGATACAAATTAACCAACCATAGTAGGGACCAATTTTTAAGTTATATTGAAATTACAAACTAAATTTGAACATTTGAAAGGACAGGACCAAAAGCCCAAAGTACTGTGACCAAAATGGTATTTTAATCGATATACTTTTGATAATTTAGGTTTTCAAGACTGGTACGAGTCTATTTTCTTAGCACTCTCTTTAGGATCTACAGTGATCGAAGCAGATTAGTGGCGATGTGATGGAACATTATTCTCATTATGCAAGGCCTCTGAACTTTACTAGAAAAAATCATTGTGAATGTACTTTTTTTAAGCTTCTTTTAGTTGAATGCTGAATTCTGAGTACAATTTAAACTACCATTAACCTAAGTTATATGTCTTTTCATGACAATGGTGCCTAGAGTAATAGTTTTTCATTTTATTGGGAGATTGATAAAGAAGAATTCAAGAAGCAATTTAAACTATCATTAACTAAGTTGTATGTATTTTCATGACAATGGTACCTTGAGTAATAGTTTCGCATTTAATAGGGAGATTGATAAGGAAGAATTCAAGAAAGTGATGGCTTTGATGCGGTCTCATATTCGACAAGGGGCTCAACATAGAAATGGACATCGTAGCAGGTTGATTGTTGATGGCTGTGTGGAGAATGGAGGCCTAGTAGACTACTTCTTTGGTAAAGATGGAGACGCAGGTCTCCAACTTGATAAATTTGTCCAATTTATGAAAAATTTGAAGATTGAGGTAACCCTATGCTAACCAAGTGTTGAATTTCTTAATGTTTACTATAACTCGATTTAAGCTAACTTGTAATTAGAGCAAATATTCCTCGCGACATTTCAAAACTGATTGATAAGTGGACAGTTTGGAAACTGTTTATTATTCACATTCTATGTGAATTCTGAACAACAAAATATTGATTTTTATCATAGATGTTAAGATTGGAGTTTGCACATTATGACTATAAACTAAGAGGAACCATATCCGCCAAGGACTTTGCATTGTCCATGGTTGCCTCAGCTGACTCGTCTCATTTAAGTGGGTTGCTTGATCGAGTTAATAGAATGGACGATAACCCACATTTGAGGGACATTCGTGTCACATGGGAAGAGTTCAAGGATTTCGACGCCCTACGTACAAAATTGCAACCATTTTCGCTGGCATTATTTAGTTATGGAAAGGTTAACGGCTTCCTGACGAAGAATGATTTTCAGCGGGCTGCATGCCAGGTATGATATATGCTTATTTTGCTTCGTCTTTCTTACCAAACAAAGTCCAGCATATCCTTAATACTTTCTGAAGTCTGAAGAATCAAATATCGATGTAAAATATCTATTGAGGAAGAAATCAAGCTTTACTTCCATGTATTTATTGTTTTGCTATTTATTTATACGCTGCTTCACATCTTCTCCCACTGAATCTTCTGGAACATTTTTTTTTTGTGTGGTTTGAGAAAGCTGATTCAAGATCCTCTTCGACCACATAATTTTTTTTAATTGCTGAGGTTTTTTGTTTTTTTTTTCTTTTGTTTGCCCATGGGTGGATTCTGTGTAATCACAGGTGTGTGGCATCAATCTGACAGACGAGGTTGTGGACATAATTTTTCATCTATTCGATACAAATTGTGATGGGGAACTGAGTGCAGAGGAATTTATTAGAGTATTGCATAATCGAGAGAAGGATGTTGCTCAGCCTTTGGAGGCAGGAATGATGGGGCTTTTCTCTCGCAGCTGGAGTTGCGAAACCAGCTCCTAATTCTTGCAGGTTTGCTTCCTTTTTCTCTACTAGGTTTTAGTTTGTGTAAAGTTTAGTCTACCAGAACGCCTGCCTACCCGCCTCTAACCCCAGATGGTTCAAAATGTAAATAATACCATATGTTTTCTCCAAAGGGACTACCTTAGTAATTAGCTCTTAAATGTATTAGGCTGGAAATGTAATATTCTTTTATAAAAGAAAATCTTTAGAACTGCTTCTAACTCAAAGAAATACGAAGGGTGTTACAAATAGACACATCTTTTGTTTGCAATGTTGATTTGCTATTTCCCTTGGAATTCCAGAATTTTAGAAGGATAATTTTGTCAATTTATACTATTTGCATGGCTGTTAATGTTTGGGAATAATGAATATAAAATAGAGACGTGAGTATTTCAAAGCAGCCTTGTTTTTGTTTTTGTTGTTTTTATTTTTATAATACATCTGTAGTAGCATTTGTGTTTGTCCTAATTTAATTATTACGCTTTAAAACAATGAATGGTGTAGTGCGCAGACACAGGCACGACTAATCAGGATCATATTCCCTTCCACATTATAAATATTCTTCATCTTCTCCCTGTCTACTTTTTTAAAAAAAAAAATAAAAAATCAATTAAATTCTAGATTCAACTTCACTTGAATGATAAGTATCTCGCAACAAAAAAAACTTAAAATTCTTAAGTGAAACAAAATATTATTTTAAGTTATTTAATTATCCATACCTAAGAATTTAAAACGGTACAGTCATATCAAATATTATAATCCATTATGATAATTTTTTAAGATTTAGTGTTACAATGTAGTGACTTAACCTATCACACATGAAATTACAAGGTTAGCATAAATTTGAGAAATTAAATAACTTTTTTTTGAGCTTAGTGATAATATCAAATACAACTTTATAGATGGTAATTAATGCCTCAGAATTGTCTCCCTAAAGGCTGGTATCCACTTTCTTCCTTACTTGTCTCCCTTTAATTAAATGCCTCACTTTGGGAAGAAGGGGATTTTTATCTTAGTGTGAATCAAAAGAATTTGCTGGGAATATCATCAATCTATGATCATTCCTAACAAACTGTGCAATGCCTTATAACTTACTTTACTATTCTTTTTCTTCGTGTACATTGTTGGAAGTGCTTCTCAGTCTCAATTACTACTCACTTGATGTGATTTTACATTTACGGTTTTGTTTTTTAAATTTCTAAAGTCGCTTCTTGTGGTTTAGAATTAAAGCTTTTTCATCTCTACTCTATGCTTGAATCGGTTTTGCTTTACTTTTAGGTGAAGGAAGATTTTAGTATATTTAAACGCTCTCACATTGCTTATTTGGTTTGACATTACAGTCTTCTACAATGTTGCTAGCTTCTCTACTAAAGCAAAGCTTTCAGTAGTGTTGAAAACAAATTTGCGTCTGCTTTAATATTCTTTTCCCCTGGTTTATTGTGACCTTTGTTTTCATGTTCACGATTGTGATTGCATTCTTTTCCCCTTGTTTATTTATCTTTTTAGATGAACTTAAATGGTACCTTGTTTTCCCCTATTAATAATGAAGAGTATATATGGAAGGGCAAATAAGGAACAAATGTAGGGAAGGTGATGTGATGTTGACAGGCATGATGGAAACATATAATCCCAAACATAAAAGATGGAATGAACGATGGTTTTTTGAATAAATCAAAGTCTAATTTATAAAGTCTTGTTTTCGTTCAACATTTTTTTTTAATGTGAATTTGAAAAGGTCTTAATAAATGACCGATTTTGTGTTTGTTGATGTAAATTCTTTTTCATATTTAATTTGTATCAAACGCCTTAATTATCTTAAATTTAAAATCAAAGTATTTCAGTCTATTCCATTTTTAAATATTTTAGTTATTTTGAAATAAAAAAAAAAATAATAATAATTAAGACGAAATTAAGTATTACATTTGGGACCATTTTATTTTTTATATTGAGGCCAAACAAAAAAAAGCTTTAAAAAGCAAAAGTATATTTAAACATAAACTTGAATTAAAAAAATATTAATTAAAAATGAAAGCAGAAAAAAGTTGATCGGCTTGTCGGCTTGACCGACCACAAATGGCGCGCTCCTTTTCAAACAAAAACAATGGCGCTGGCGACCGCCGGTCCCGCTCTCAGTACTCTTCTGAATTGTAATGTTTCCCTTTTCCATTTTCTTTCAGAAATTGTTGCTTAAATGGAGCTGTATGTACAGATTTTATTCGCTGCACATTCCTTTTATTTCTCTTGTTCACATTCCTCCATTCTCCTTGAAATTCTACCTTCCATATTTTCCTCTTCCTTTGACTTCTCTGTAATTCTTCATTTCACTTTCCGTTTTTGTACCAGAACCACGCGCCGCCGTGCCCGTGTAGAGTTTAATGATCGTCATTTTGCTAGCTAGGTAATTTTTTATATCATTCTCTCGATTATGATTCTGTTTTTTCTGTTTATCTTGGATCTGAAAGGGCGATTTGTCGCATCAGACTACAAGGAGTTTGCTAATGTCTACCGGTGGAGAATAGGGCTTCATTATTTGACCAAACCGTTGATCCATTTAAGCTAATTTATTTGTAATTGTGATGTTTCTGAATACAAAAGTTCACAAACGCTAATTTTATAGTTACGAGTTGGATCGGAGGAGTTTTGTCTTTGAATTATTAAAAGTATTTGGGCTGAAGATGTCATGCTTATCTGATGTTGATTGTTACTCGACGGCTCTTGCGGGGTGCATTTTTCTTTAGAGTAATACTTGTCTGCTGGAATTTTATCGTTTTCTTGCATATTTTTATTCATCTTGTTGACTTTACTTATGGCTCTCGATTGGGAAGAACAGAGACTTGTCCTCTTGATCTTCAACATCATTTGTTATTTATCCCAGTCAATTGTGAATGATACAGTTGACCAGATTAGTTAAACGATTGAGAATCCATTTTGCTGTTCCGATTGCTGATTAAGAACTTGGGGAGCACGGAAGAGGAGATGAAAGAGGAGTCAACTGGATTGATCATTGGAATTTCGATTGGAGTGGTGATTGGAGTTCTTTTGGCTATTCTTGCTCTATTCTGCTTTAGATACCATAGGAAGCGGTTGCAGATTGGTAATAGCAGTTCAAGGAGGGCAGCTAATGTTCCTATTCGAACAAACGGAGCTGATGCTTGTAGTATTCTATCAGACTCAACAGTGGCTCCAGAATCACCCGTGAAGTCCAGCCAGAATGGTATATCCTCATGGCTTGACGGATTTAAGAAAAGCTGCGTGATCTCATCTGGGATGCCTGAATATTCTTTTAAGTACGCTTTCTTATGCAATTCATCTCTGCCATTTACTTTGTATGAGATTCTGTCACATTGCTATGCTGTACAAACCTTGTATTAGTATTCATCTGAATCAAATATTCAGCATAGAGAGAAAAGATGATCCCTATCTTAGATTATCTTTGCTCGACAATCTCAGATTTCGGTATGTTCTTACTTTCTACTGCTACTCTCAAATCTTCTTTCCTTCGCTTCCCTCTATACATTGATACTGTATAAGGGCGCTAAGAGAGTTCTCTCGACCGAGAAAGAAGAAAAATGTAATTGTAATTTGATTGTTCTAATGAAGTTGTAATTTAATTTGTTATTGATTGTTTAGTTTGTGATATGATGCAGAGATCTCCAAAAAGCAACCGGAAATTTTACAAGTGTAATAGGACAAGGAGCATTTGGTCCTGTTTATAAAGCTACCTTGCCGTCTGGAGAGACTGTTGCTGTGAAAGTGCTTGCAACCAATTCTAAACAAGGAGAGAAAGAATTTCAGACAGAGGTAAGGATAGTTGATAATAATTAGAGCTTCTTGTGTAGAACTTGTTACAAACTGCACCAATTCATAGAAGTGTTGCTTTATTCGGTTGTTCGTCGAACAATATCCTTTCCTAGAAATATTCCAGGTTTCGTAGTTTGAGGTTATGCCCTTAAAAGTTCTTTCCCCCTATTTCTGTTGCCCTGCTTTTGGATATAATTGATAATTAGTTTTAAACTTGCAACGAGCAAGGGTGAAATAGTTTTAAACTTCGTCTGGAACTCGGATCCTGGGCTTGGAGTTGGGGAATACAACACAATAATTCTGTGTAACATATAGTTAGACCAGTATTTTTCTTTTAATTGTTAGGCTTACATATCCTACGTTTAGTGATTCAGTTAATTTTATTTCCCTGTAAATCATTCAGGTGATGTTATTGGGAAGATTGCATCATAGAAACCTCGTGAATTTGATTGGATACTGTGCTGAAAGAGGCGAGCATATGCTTGTGTACGTCTACATGAGTAAAGGCAGCCTAGCTTCTCACTTATATAGTAAGCTGACTATTCCCTCTTAATTTGTGAAACCAACAGTGTCAGTGATTGACTAGAATCTGTCTTTCTCTTGTCACTATTAATGAGTCTAATTATTTGTTGGCATTGATGAATGTTATCATCTTTACAATTTGTTTGGTTATTGTGCTCAAGCTCTGCACAGTTTCTAAAGGGAAAAGGACTTCCTTTTGTTTCTGTGCGTAGGTGATAAGAATGGATTACTAAGTTGGAATGTAAGAGTTCGGATAGCTTTAGATGTAGCAAGGGGTTTGGAGTATCTTCATGATGGGGTAAGTTTATTTTCCCCTCGTTATCAAGAAAATCGTGAGCATGTGAACGTTTTGAAATACATGAATGTCTTAGTGCTAATGATGCTTCAAATTTTACTTCAGGCAGTTCCTCCAGTTATTCACCGGGATATCAAATCAGCCAACATTTTGTTGGATCAGTCCATGAGAGCAAGGGTATGTCCTTTCTGCTGATTATAAGTGCTTCCATGTGATCATGTTTCCAAAACAATGTTAGTATCTATCAGTTAGTTTGGTTGCATCTGAGTTATTAGAATGCTCAATCAGGTTGCTGATTTTGGGCTTTCAAGAGAAGAGGTGGTTGACAGTCATGCAGCTAACATTAGAGGAACTTTAGGTTACCTTGATCCTGAGTACATATCTTCCAGGACATTCAACAAGAAAAGCGATGTTTACAGCTTTGGAGTATTACTTTTCGAGATTATTGCTGGCAGAAATCCTCAACAGGGCCTTATGGAATATGTTGAGCTTGTGAGACATCTCTCTCTCTCTCTCTCTGAATGAATGAATGAAACAGCTCTACTTTTATTGGCTACTATCTTTGTTTCCATAAGCCCTTATTTGGAACTAGTATCCCAAACCATTCATCTAAAACCACACATATTTTTTGTTTGATGATGGTTAGGCTGCCATGAATTCTGATGGGAAAGTTGGGTGGGAAGAGCTTGTTGATTCCCGTCTGGATGGAAACTTCGACGCTCAAGAGCTGAATGAAGTAGCAGCTCTGGCATACAAATCCATTAACCGTGTTCCGAAAAAACGACCTTCAATGAGAGACAACGTACAAGTTCTGTCCCGAATTCTAAAACAAAGACAGAACAATAGATTTAACCAAAATATGGTGTCAACGACAAGAGATGAAATTGGCATTGATGTGGATCAAGTAGAAAGCAGGAGTCCCAGGAGTCCAATGCCTGAACACCAACGACAACAGTCCACGGATAGTACAGCCGAATCATTTGATGTTTAGAAAATGGTTGTTTTGCCCTCTCCTAGTGCTCGTAGTTGAGTTCATTGATTCTTCTTGTTTTGACTCGTCTCTTTTCTCAACATACCAAGAAAGAAAAATAGGCAGGAGAAGATCACAAGAATCTCCCCAGAAAATTTCATGTAACATAGTTGACCCTTTTACATTTTGTTTTGATTTGTTTTAACTGAAAAAGGTTTTGTATATGGAATTACAAGTGGAGGAAAAAGGAAAGCTTTTTTTTAGTATAGAATGACCAGAAAGCATCAAACTTTGGTTTGAAGCTCCCAACTCCATCCATGGATATTGGATATGAAGGATAAATAGATACATAATTAAAGCTGAATAATGATTGTGTGAGCATATCGAGATTTGTTTTTTTGAATTCTGATACCCCTAATTAACACATAATTAGTGGGTTTAGAAAGTAATCAGCTCTAGCTTTACCCATCTAATTCATATTTCTTATACGCTGAAAATAAAGTAACATCGAGATTGCTGCTCCTTAATCCTCATTATTAATCTTTTTTTCATCCGCAAACCAATAATAAAAAATTATTATTATTATCCTTTTTCGATGATTTAGTAATTAAATAAAACAAATTGAGAGATGCAACGTAAATTGTGAGATCTCCCGTCGATCGTAGAGAATAACTAAACAACTTATCATTTTTTAAATCGAGAAGTTAGAAGTATTTAATATAGTCCAACACATAATTTAAATAAATAACGAATAGAATTTTGGTGGGTAGATTTTAGTATGAATTGTTTATATTATAATTTGAATGAAATAAGTTATATTTAATTACAAACCACTGTTATTAAAAAAAATTCTTATTTTCAAATTGTGTTTCCATTAGAATATTTGGGAGTGAGAGTGATTCATGTGAGTTTGAGTTGGAACAATTTTGACCAATAAATTTAGTAATAAAAAAAATGTTGTTTGAGGAGAAGATAATGCCTACAGCATGTAAACAAAAATAAATAAATAAGTAAATAAAAAGCTTGATGTGGTCCCACCATCATCCCAATGAGACAAAAAACACAACAATGCGTGACATCCATTTGTCATTTTTATTTTATTTTAATAATAATTATTAGAAAGAAGGGAAAAAAAAAAAAAAAACTCTTTATTTTGGAAATTTAGTCCTTAAGATCTTTCCTCATTTTGAAAAGAAAGAGAGGAAAAAGACAAAATAAAAACACCGTAAATTTTGTCTCTCTATCTCTTTTCACATGTAAAGTGAAGCCACCATGTGTTCTTCTCCGGCAACACTGAGCTAGACGAACTTCGCGTTGGTGAAGCTCCAACAAACCTGAGCCACTCCAACTCCATTCCAGTGGCTACATCACACTGTTTGAGTCGACTGTTGTTTGACCACACTAATTGAGTCGACGTGTGATCCACTCCTTCGATTTTTTCAATGATGGTAGAAGATTGTTCGAAAGGAATCCCAAAAAAATGATCTTAAATTTATAAGCAAAGAATATATCAAGAAAATAATATCTTACCATAGTGGAGAGTCATCCATTCTTAATATGATTTGTTAGTGCACCTCTCAACTCCAACGACCCAAATCATATATTATATAACTTTTTTCAAATTTATCAATATTACCTTCATTCAAGATATTATTAATCCTCTACGTTTAGTAACATATACAATAAGTAAGATTTTTAAGATTGTATACACGCAATGTTATAGGTTTGTTGTTATAACCTAATCTAGAAATACCAAACATGTGACAATTATTATGGAACTTAGAATTAAGAACATCAAATACTTGTGTGTGTATACATGCAATCATTGTAGTAAGCTAAAGTTGCTATGTTTACTTCCTCTACTATAACCACCGTGACATGTGGGTCCTCTAGATTGTATAAAACCAAAATTATAATTGTGACGCGTGGGTCCTACCAATTGCAATGTTTTCAAATATTTTTATTTTAAATAGAGAAAATTTCTTGTTTAAAAGAGGAAAAACTTTTAACATATAAAAAAGGAAAGGTATTATATTTAAATTAGAGGGATCTCTTCTAAAGAATAGAATGACTAAGAAATGCAAGTGACTGTCTATAACAATAAAGTGCATCTTTGTTTAAACATAAGTTCTAGTAACTTTGTTTTTTGGGGTTCCACATTATAACAATTGAGATTGAGATGTATTCATTCTCTGGATTAACTAATGTGAGACTCTCTCCCATCAATACTCGTTTGAATAAAGTACACTATAAAGTCTCCCCTGAGGTTTATAGAGCCCTTGAACGATTTGGGGTAGTCTATAAGAATAATTTTCACTTTTAAAAGTCCTCTGGCTCCAACCATGTAGGTAATGATTATTTAATTGTTTTGAAATCTTTTTATGGTTCAATAAGTACTCTAATCCATAGAGGAAAAGACGAAAATAATGATGAAAGCAGGGGTGTATTAATGAATCCATGAGTTAATAACAATATCTATTGGATCTTAAATGTGAGAGCTATTGAAAATCTTTGAATTCCAACAAGGAAAAAAAAAAAAAAAAAAAAAAAAAAAAAAA